TGTTTAACTGGTAGTAACTATCATATTTGGAAAGGCAAGATGAAAGATCTTCTATTTGTCAAGAAGATGCATTTACCTGTGTTTGCTTCTAATAAGCCTCAGTCTTTGAATGATGAAGAATGGGAATTTGAGCATCTGCAGGTTTGTGGCTATATTAGACAATGGGTTGAAGATAATGTTAGAAATCATATTGTGAATGAGACACATGCCAAAAGTTTGTGGGACAAGCTCGAGACACTTTATGCTTCGAAGACTGGCAACAACAAGTTGTTCCTATTGAAACAATTAATGAATATCAGGTATAAAGAGGGCACTTCTATTTCTGATCATATTAATGATTTTCAGGGTGTTCTTGACCAGCTGTCTGGAATGGGTGTAAAGTTTGATGATGAGATACAGGGACTTTGGCTTCTTAATACTCTGCCAGACTCTTGGGAAACTCTTCGTGTTTCTTTGACTAATTCTGCTCCCAGTGGTGTTGTAACCATGGAATATACTAAGAGTGGTGTCTTGAATGAAGAAATGAGAAGAAGATCTCAAGCCTCATCTTCTTCAGCTTCACACTCCGATGTTTTGGTTACTGAAGATAGGGGGAGAAACAAGTCCAGATGTCAAAATGATAGAGGTAAAAGTAGAAGCAAGTCAAAGTCTAAATACAAGAATACTACATGTGACTATTGCCACAAGAATGGCATATTATGAAATATTGTTACAAGCACAAGAGAGATATGAGACAACAAAAGAGAGAAGGCGATAATGAAAATCGTGTTGTTGTTGTTGCTAATAATGATCTTCTTGTTTCTTGTGATGAAAATGCCATTAATCTTGTTCGTGATGAGTCTAGCTGGTTTGTGGATTCTGGTGCTACTTCTCATGTCACGCCAAAGAAGGAATTATTTTCTTCTTATACTCCAGGTAATTTTGGAACGTTGAAAATGGGCAATAATCATGACGTTGAAGTTATTGGCATTGGGACAGTTTGTTTGGAAAGTAACAATGGTTCCAAACTAGTTCTTAATAATGTCAAGCATGCTCCAGATGTTCGCTTGAATTTGATTTCTGTGGGATATCTTGATGATGAGGGTTATGTTAATACATTTGGTGTTGGCCAGTGGAAGCTTACTAGAGGTTTGATGGTTGTGGCCCGTGGTGACAAGTTGTCTAACTCTTATGTATTTCAGGGCTCCATGTCTAGAGACTCAGTAAATTTGGTGGAGAATGATACTTCATCAGAGTTATGACATAGAAGGCTGAGTCATATGAGCGAGAAGGGGATTGATAGTTTGGCTAAGAAAAATTTGCTTTCTGGAGTGAAACAAGCAAAGTTGAAGAAATGTGTTCATTGCTTAGCCAGTAAACAGAAAAGAGTTTCTTTTCAGAGTCATCCGCCTTCAAGAAAGCTCGATTTGCTGGAGTTGGTACATTCTGATTTGTGTGGTCCTTTTAAGGTAAGATCTCATGGTGGTGCACTTTACTTTGTGACTTTTATTGATGATCATTCTCGCAAACTCTGGGTATTTCCTTTGAAGTCCAAGGATCAAGTACTTGATGTGTTCAAGTGTTTTCAGGCCTTGGTTGAAAGACAAACAGGGAAGACATTGAAATGCATCCGCTCAGATAATGGTGGTGAGTATATTGGTCCTTTTGATAGATATTGCAGAGAGCAGGGTATTAGGCATCAGAAAACTCCTCCAAAGACTCCTCAGTTAAATGGTTTAGCAGAGTTAGATGTATGCTTTCAGATGCTAAGCTGTCAGATTACTTTTGGGCAGAAGCACTTAATACCGCTGCTTATGTTATCAATTTATCTCCTGCTGTTGCTTTAGATGGTGATGTCCCTGACAGAGTTTGGACTGGTAAGAATGTTTCTTATGATCATCTTAGAGTCTTTGGGTGTAAAGCCTTTGTACATGTTCCTAAGGATGAAAGGTCAAAGTTGGATGTTAAAACTAGGCAGTGTATCTTCATTGGTTATGGTCAAGATGAATTTGGCTATCGTTTTTATGATCCTGTTGAGAAGAAACTTGTTAGAAGCCGTGATGTTGTGTTCTTTGAAGACCAAACAATTGAAGATTTTGACAAAGCTGACAAGGCTGATTTTCAGACTAGTGAGAGCTTAGTTGATGTTGATCCAGTTCCTTTGACTATTGCACCGGAAGAAAATCTTCATAATGATGAAAATCAAGTTGATAATGAAGATGGCGATCATGTTCAGAATGACCGGCATGATGTTGTTGATGCTCCAGTGCAAGATGATGTGGTTGTCCAACAACCAATTATAGATGCTCCAGAGAGTTCTCTTAGACGATCTAGTAGAGAGAGAACTCCTTCATCTCGTTATTCTCCCAATGAGTATGTACTCTTGACTGACGGGGGAGAACCTGAGAGTCTTGATGAGGCCATGGAAAGTGAAGAAAAAGAAAGGTGGTTTGATGCTATGGAAGATGAGATTAAATCCTTGCATGATAATCATACCTTTGATTTGGTTAAGTTACCTAAAGACAGAAAAGCTTTGAGAAACAGGTGGGTTTTTCGGGTGAAAAATGAAGATGGTAATCCAGTTCCACGGTACAAAGCTAGATTAGTTGTCAAGGGATTTAATCAGAAAAAGGGAGTTGATTTTGATGAGATATTCTCTCCAGTTGTGAAGATGTCATCCATTCGTGTGGTTCTAGGCTTGGCTGCAAGTCTAGATTTAGAGGTTGAGCAAATGGATGTTAAAACTGCTTTGCTCCATGGTGACTTAGATGAAGAAATTTATATGGAGCAACCGGAAGGTTTTGAAGTCAAGGGTAAAGAGAATTATGTTTGCAAATTGAAGAAGAGCTTGTATGGTTTGAAACAAGCTCCCAGGCAGTGGTACAGGAAGTTTGGTTCTTTTATGAGTCAGCAGGGCTTCAAGAAGACTTCTTCAGACCATTGTGTTTTTGTGCAAAAGTTCTCTGATGGTGACTTTATTATTGTGTTGCTTTATGTTGATGACATGTTTGTTGTTGGTCATAATACTTGTAGGATTCAGAAGTTGAAGCAAGAGTTGAGTAAGTCTTTTGCTATGAAAGACTTAGGACCAGCAAGGCAGATTCTTGGCATGCAGATTGTCCGTGATAGAAAGGCCAAGAAATTGGTATTATCACAAGAGAAGTACATTCAAAAAGTACTTCGCAGATTCAACATGGATAAAGCTAAGGTTGTCAGTACACCTTTAGCTATGCACTTCAAATTGAGCATGAAACAGTGTCCTTCCAGTGATGATGAGAAGGAAGATATGAAGAAAGTTCCTTATGCTTCAGCTGTTGGTAGTTTGATGTATGCGATGGTTTGTACAAGACCGAATATTGCTCACGCTGTTGGAGTTGTTAGCCGTTTTCTTTCTAATTCGGGAAGAGAACATTGGAATGCTGTGAAGTGGGTTATGAGATATCTCTGTGGCACTTCTAGTCTGAGTTTGTGTTTTGGTACAGGGAAGCCTATTCTTTGTGGTTATACTGATTCAGACATGGCTGGTGATGTTGATACTCGCAAGTCTACTTCAGGGTACTTGGTTACTTTTGCAGGGGGAGCTGTGTCTTGGCAATCTAGGTTGCAAAAATGTGTTGTTCTATCTACTACAGAAGCTGAGCTTATTGCTATCGTTGAAGCTTGTAAAGAATTGCTTTGGATGAAGAGATTCTTGGGGGAACTTGGTTGTGCTCAAGAGAGGTATGTGCTTTATTGTGACAGTCAAAGTGCTATACATCTTGGCAAGAATTCTACGTTCCATGGTCGGTCTAAACACATTGATGTGAGATACCATTGGATTCGAGATGTGTTAGATTCTAAGTTGCTTGAGCTTGAAAAGATTCATACAAATGACAATGGTTCCGATATGATGACTAAAACTTTGCCAAGAGGGAAGTTTGAAGATTGTTGCATGGTCGCCGGGATGGCGGTCTCCTCCACATAGTCGTGAGGGGGAGAATTGTTGGGTTATGGGTCTTTTTTTCCCTTCCTATGTGGATAAATAAAAGCCCAATTTGGACCAACCCATTTTTGCCCATAGGCCCATTATTATGAGGCAAATATAAACCTATTTAGGGTCTTATTTTCAGACATACAGAGAGAGTTTTTCAGCAGCCAAAAGAGAGAAAAAAGAGAGAAATTCGCAGTCAAAAATCCAGCCATAACAACCAACTTCAAATTGCGATTCCCGCTTCGTTTCTTGTCCGATTGAGCTGATTTTTGGACAGCATATTATCTTCATCTCAATCTTTGATTAGGAACTGACAGAGTTGGATTTGGTGGTCTGCAACTTCAGTTTTGCTGTCGTGAACAGTAGCTGCGAAATTGGTGATTTTGCTCCTTTAATTCTCTAGATTTGGTGCAGTCTTATTTTGTTGTTGCTCGTTGTTTGGCACTTTGTTTTGTGGCCAATTTTGGAGAACAATATTGTAACTCTTGGTGATTATAGTGGAGCTTTTGGTCCCGTGGTTTTTTACTCTTCACATCGAAGGGTTTTCCACGTAAATCTTGGTGTCTTGTGTGATTGGTTTATTATTGTCTTGTTATATTTGTTTGGTTGAATTACTTGCTGCCTTACTATCATATTGCTTATGGTTGTTTGTTTTCTCTTGGTTCAAATCGAAAAGGGAAAGTATAGACTTGGGTATTCTTCCGCTGTTATCCTGTCAGACATTCTTTGTTAGTGCCTTGTCTTTCCCAATAGAAAGAAAGAAAGAGGGGTCATTTTCATTGTCTACTTGACCGCATCCATCAATAAAAATTCACACGTACGTACATCTTGTATATTTTAACATTCCAAGAATCCAAAATAGAACATATTTTATACTTATTACACTCCTGTTAGAATAAGCATCAAGATGAAGCAAAATGGCAAATGAACAAAACGAGATAATAATATTTATTTATTTGAAGACGGCAACATTTTGTTGTATCCTATGTCATATTATTCTATAACTAGTCAGCTTTTCTTCTAATAATTTCCTTTGATCCGACTCATAATAATGAATATCAGAGCGAAAACCATAAACCTTTCTAGTTTTTTTCTCTTCATCATTTTAAATGGTGAAGCTAAGTCATGTGGAAATGGTTGTGAGATGGCTATAGCTTCGTATCATATTTGGTCAGGAGCTAATTTAACTTACATTAGTCACCTATTCAATTTAACAATTCCAGTGATTCTTAATTACAATCCTCAAATTACAAATCAAGATAGTATTACTAGTGACACGAGGATTAATCTCCCATTTTCTTGTGATTGCTTAAATGGTGATTTTTTGGGACATACTTTTGTGTACAAAACTGTGTTTGGTGACACGTACAAAAAAGTTGCCACTATGGCCTTTGCAAACCTTACAACTGAGTATTGGCTCAAACGGGTCAACAATTATGACCCGACCAGCATACCGGATTATGCCATGATCAACGTGACCGTTAATTGCTCCTGTGGGGATGGTGAAGTGTCCGACGATTATGGGTTATTCGCCACGTACCCTATTCGCCCGGGAGAGAACTTGTCCACAGTGGCCGTGGGGTCGGGTGTACCGGCGGAGTTGCTCCAGAAGTTCAATCCGGGTTTGGATTTTGGTTCAGGGTCGGGAATAGTGTTTGTGCCGGCAAGAGGTTAGTGACTAGGTTTTTTGTTGTATATCAATACCTTGAACGTTATTATTTCAAGTTGAACCAAGACTAGAAGTCAAGAATTTAGGAAGTTTTAATATACATAAGGTATTAAGGTGTATAACTTCTTATATATATAAAATAACTAGGGGTGTCAAACACGGGTTGAGTTTGACAAAGGCTAGTCAAAAATGAGCTAGGTGAAAACGGATAAAATGTCTAATCCAATCCATATTTGATATAAAGAAAAATTAAGTACTTTATTACAATTTTTTTTCTACTTTTAGGGTGTGTTTTGTTGTTTAGAGTTGATATATCTCTGTTATGAAAGTGACTCATATACACCCTTACCTATAACCTATACAGATGACTCAAATATACCTTTTTCCTTAGATTTTTTTGGAAAATGAGTGAACCAGTGTCGAGGTAGGAGCAGACAGCTGACTTAAAACATTCTCTTCTTACCCCATTTTTACTTCATATTGTTAATGCAGATGCACACGGAAATTTTCCACCGTTGAAGACAAGGTATTTGTCCAAACTTAACATTCTTTTTATTTCTGCTCAGTATTTTTCTGTCTATGATAGTAACTTAATATGATTCTCTCTGACTTTTGTTTTGCAGATCAAGAGGTTGGCTCTATTTTGTTTTCTGCTCTGATCATGAGATGTACTCAACTTAATAAGTCCAAACGTGAAGTAGCACGTAAAATTGTTATGGCACTACCATTGCTTACTAAATGATGTCATTTGCCAGGACTCTCACGTGGAGCCATTGCTGGCACAACAGTGGCAGCTATTTTTGGGGCTACCTTCTTTGTAGTTTGTGTTTATTTTGTATTTTATAGGAGCAAGCAAGCAGAAGAGGAATCATTTCTCCAAGGGTCATCTGATGAACACTTTAATGAGAACTTCCGTGAGTAGTTTATTTGATTGTGTTGTATCCTTTCCCCAACGAAATGATAATAGTTTCTTCTTGAAGTATATTGATTACAACAAAATTGCCTTAATTGGTAAAGCAGCGGAAATTTCTGTTGTTTCCTGTTGATCTCTTGTTTTGTTCCATGAATAATCATGTTCACTGAGTCACTGTAAATAAGCCTTAATTATGTGTCCCCTGCACATTTTTCTGAATGTGTTTATAGTTAAGCCAAATGAGCCTACTAAATCTTTCAAAGCCCGATATTTAGTATGGTTTGATGAAATCCTTAATGCATCAGGTCCTCCGAATTTGGAGAAAATTACAGAATCAGGTCCTTTGTTTGGTGTTATTTCTCCAAGACCGACAGGGATCACAGTGGATAAATCAGTGGAATTTTCATACGAGGAACTTGCTAAAGCTACAAATAACTTCAGCATGGAAAATAAGATTGGTCAAGGTGGATTTGGATTAGTCTTTTATGGAATGTTAAAAGGCGAGGTTTGTGGATATTTTGTATCAGAGTTTATGAAACATAACACTTGAATAATCCTACTACTGATCACTGGTTGTAGCTACTTTGATTTCAGTGTTTTCTCATTCACAATACCAATATAGGGCTAATAGCGAAGAGCGTAGTAACTATTATTAATCAGTGATAAACATGGAAAAAAGTGTAGCTTAAAGGTGTTGAATTCTACATGCTATCCGAGGTTTAAATATGGCTGTTCAAGTAACCACAGTAGCATATAAATATAGGTCATGGAGGCCGCTAATCTTAGATTTAGAATGAAACATGAGGTTGTTCAATGATTTAACTGAACAAAACACATTTAAATTAGATGATAATGTAGCTTTCGCCTTTCCTATTTCTTGATCTTAGGCCTCCTTTTGACTTGAATGCAGAGAGCAGCAATTAAGAAAATGGATATGCAAGCATCGAAAGAATTCTTTGCTGAGTTGAAAGTCTTAACGCATGTTCATCACTTGAACTTGGTAAGATTGTTCTTATAATGAATGAGAATATCAGCATTTCCTGTATTTTCATTTATTTCATATGTGCCTTCTTGCAACAAGCTAAACTCTTTGTCATTAACTTGAAATATCAGTAATACAGAACTTTCTCCGCCAATGTTAAAGGTCAGAAAATACTTTTTATGATTGTGAGACCATGAGATGACATGTTATTTTTAAAACACATTGCAGGTTCGGTTGATTGGATATTGTGTTGAAGGGTCTTTATTCTTAGTTTATGAATACATTGAAAATGGAAACCTTGGTGAACACTTGCGTGGATCAAGTAAGTGAAAGTCTACTACTTTTGTGAAATGTCATGTAGACCAAGTACTATAATCACTGTGCTGCATTTTTCTCACTCTTATAAATCCATCTCGACCTTTGACTTCCAGGCCGGAATCCATTGTCATGGTCTACCAGGGTGCAGATTGCTCTTGATGCAGCTAGAGGACTCGAATACATCCATGAGCACACTGTTCCTTTATATATCCACCGCGATATTAAATCTGCTAATATTTTGATTGACAAAGACTTTCGTGCAAAGGTTGTGAAAATTGTGATTGTTAAACAAGAGATCAAATGTTTGCATATAATTTGCCCTGAATGATCTTTAAATTTTGAAGGTAGCAGACTTCGGACTTACAAAGCTAACTGAAGTTGGAAGTACCTCTTTCCATACACGCCTTGTAGGCACTTTCGGTTACATGCCTCCAGAGTAAGCGTCTGATTCCAGGTGGCATATTTTGTCACCTGGTGAATACTGATATTTTGAGCACTGTGGCTCTCATAGCATAGTTGACGATAGAATTCTGATTGTTCGTGCACTGGACTTCCCTTTTTATTATATTCTGTTTTAAAAGGGCCTTGTAAACAGGTATGCTCAGTATGGTGATGTTTCCCCTAAAGTTGATGTCTATGCTTTTGGAGTAGTGCTTTACGAACTAATATCTGCTAAAGAAGCTATTGTCAAGACGAATGAAGTTATAACTGAATCAAAGGGACTTGTTGCATTGGTACGCCTTGTTACCATCTTTGTTTTACCTAAATATTCCAGCCTCTAAACTACTAAAGAGAATTCTGTTTTCTTTTGCAGTTTGAGGATGTTCTTCACCAGAGTGGTGGTGCTAGAGAAGGGTTATGCAAAGTGGTTGATCCCAAACTCGGAGATGACTATCCGTTAGATTCAGTTTGCAAGGTAGAGTACTTTCCTTGTGCTTATGTTAAAAATGAAGAGTCTTTTCGCTTATGTAAATTAGTTGGTTATTTAATTTGCAGGTAGCTCAGCTTGCCAAGGCTTGCACACATGAAAATCCTCAGTTGAGACCTAGCATGAGGTCCATTGTTGTAGCTTTAATGACTCTATCATCCTCAACTGAAGATTGGGATATTGGCTCCTTTTATGAAAACCATCTCATGTCAGGAAGGTAGCAATAGTAGCTGCTGTTCACTCAAGCATTTTCAACCTCATGTGCTTAGAAGTATAATTTGTTTATATGTAATAAGTATTATTCGTTTTCTTTGTTTGTAAAGCTTCATAGATGGTTGCTTGATTAAGAGAATCCTCTGGAGCCCTAGGGAATACGAGTCTTCATAGGGCAATTATCCTCGCTTTTAAGTCCAAAATGAATCATTTGCGAATATCTCTCATCTAACATATGAATTTTAACAAAATCATACCACGTACTGGTTTTCTATGCCAAAACAATTAGTATTTCCTATTTCATTGCCAAATTCCATTCTTTGACTGGATCTCAAATTATTATTTTTCGTATAGATGTATAATTTATTGCAAAATTTCCAGTTGTAACTTGTAATATATAAGTAGGTTATCTGCCATTGCACGTTTCTCCTTCCCCTTTGAACCCGTCAGGTCAAAATTATTTGTCTTCTTTATTAAATTAATATAGAAGAAACAACACATAAACGCAAATGATTGTGTCATCATTCACCACTGGCAAGCAACGAATAAATCTTATAGGTTCTAATTATAATCCTTTGAAATATTCATATTTATACTTGATCCAGGTATAATCTTCAATAATATTTTACTTCTTTGTTTTATCTCTTGGCATGCCATGTTTGATGCAATCTTGACTTTGATGGCATTAAATGTTAAAAACTCCTTTTACTATATCATTGCTCCCAAAATTTAACGCTATCGATGTGAACGTTGTATGTTTGGAGTTGAAAATAATACATCGTACTACTACTATATATTATCATGAAGTCACAATTATTTTAATTCATCGGAATGTGCTTACGTGTTCAACACCAATTTGGGGCTCAGAAGTTTTATTTAAGGGATTTGGAAAAAAATGCAAAAAAGTTAGCTTTCCAATGTTAATAAGGGGATAGAGTAGTTTTTATATATGCAAAAATAGTTACTCTATTCTACTTGCAAAGCAAAGCTTTAATTGAACCCCTTTTATACCTCTTAGCTCAGACATGCCCCTGTGTATTGTTGAATGTTCATGATGAAATGTAGAAAATTTATATAATCGATTATAACAAATTTAGGTGTGACATCATGACTTTTTTGCACCATCTACTTTAAGTTGACCTACTAGAACAAGCATATATTGGCATGTTCATCAAACTGTACTGATGATAGTAATTTTTTTTCTTCATATTTTCAGTAATATAAAATTAAATCGCCTAAACACCAAAAAAAGGCTTTGATAGGGAGACTGCAGGCGCACAAATGATTTGGCATGTTTCAACATCCATGGCTAACACTAACAGCCAATAATGGAGATGTGTTGACTAAAAAGGTCAACTAATGGACCCCAAAATATATTCCTAAAATTTTCTTTCTGCTTTTTCCAGAAATCACATGCTTTAGAATTCCCTGTCTCCCACTTAAAGTAATGCAAAATTCAAAGCTAAAACTCTTTTGTCTCTTGGACTAGGCCATGTTAAAAATGCTAAAAAGGCAAAAACTGAAGTTGTCAAGTGTCAACTAACACAACCATATTTTCATCCATTGGCATCTTTCATTCAAGATTCTAAAAAGAGTTCAAAAAATCTCAACCCATTTTTCAACTAGTACATAGTTGAAAATCAGATGATTTTTTTTCAAGAAAATAGAAGCTTTGAGTTGGTTTTAGGCCTTTTAGTGTTAAACATTTTGTGGGTGGGGGTTAAATCCCAGTGTAGTGATGATTGTGATGCATTAGCTTCATTTTATGTATGGAATGGTGCTAACCTCACTTTTATGTCTAATACTTTTTCAACCCCCATCAAGAATATCCTTAGTTATAATCCTCAGATAACCAATCCAGATATTATTCAATCCCAAAGCAGAGTTAATGTTCCCTTCTCATGTAGCTGTGTTGATGGGAAATTCATGGGACATCAGTTTGATGTGCAGGTCAAGACTAATACTACTTATCCGAGAATCACTCGTCTTTATTGTTCGAACCTTACAACAGTTGAAAAGTTGCAGGAGTCTAACAGTTATGATCCTAACAATGTTCCTGTGAATTCAATAGTAAAGGTTATTGTCAACTGCTCTTGTGGAAATAGTCATGTGTCAAAAGATTATGGACTATTTATAACTTATCCTCTTCGCCCTGGAGAGAATTTGGTTACACTAGCCAATGATTTTAGTCTACCACAGAAGTTGTTGGAAGACTATAATCCTGAAGCAAATTTCAGCAGCGGTAGTGGTCTAGTTTTCATTCCTGGAAAAGGTAATTGATCTCTTTACCAAGGCTTTTATACTCGTATTCTTTGCATATTTAGGTACAATTAGTCGAATTTGGATGAGTTTTTACAGAAAGTTATGCAGAAGCAATAAAATGGAACCATGCTCATTGTCTATTATTAAGGCAAGGAACAATTTTACATACTACAATCATAGTTAATTTTCGGATGATTTGACTTGTATGACAAATTGGTCGGAAGCTCAGGATTGTCACTTGAATATCTGTTACTATATGCCAAAGTGTTGGATGATGTTATAGTTTTTTTCTTTTAAATCTCTATTCTGAAATGTATTGCAGATCAAAATGGAACTTATCCACAATTAAGAACTTCTACAAGGTATTCTCCAACCCCAATGAGCTCCTGATCATTTCTTGAATGTTATACTATCGACAGCTAATTGTCGTTTCTTGCTTTTCACAGCTCAAAAGGTTAGCCTTATTTTACTGCTACAGAGGCATTGTTTTCAACTGATCAAGTCTGAGGTATCAAAAAGCTCTGAATGTGATTGTAATCTACTAAAAACTATGTTATTGACAGGATTCTCAGGTGGCGCAATAACTGGCATATCAGTTGCAGTAGTTCTTGTGGTTGCCCTTTTAGCAGTTTGCATATACATTACCTTTTATAGAGGCAGGAAAACGGAGGAAAATCTTAACTTGGAACCTTACAAACACAGTAGTAATAAGCATATTCCTGGTAATTTTATTGTTTTGAATCGACTGATGTATGCTTAATTACCTGTCAAACTCTATGGTGGTAATTCCTGTTTGTTGTTTCTCATTTCTCTAGCCTTAGGCTTCCTGCAATCGGTCCGGGTTAATGATAAAATTATGTCAACTGTTCTGTGGAAGCAATGTTTTGGTTCATCCTTAGAATAAACCTTGTAGTTTCTTTATATGACTCAGGTCATGCAAATTTTGAGAATTCATCAGAAGGGGGATCTCTTAAACAGGGCGCTTCCCCAGAGGTCCCGAGGATTGCTGTGGATAAATCTATAGAATTTTCATATGATGAACTTGCTAAAGCCAGTGACAATTTCAGCACAGCCTACAAGATTGGCCAAGGTGGTTTCGCATCTGTTTACTATGGAGAGTTAAGAGGCGAGGTTCGTCACATTATTCTTGTTAAGATTGAAATGATTAGCAATTATTCGGATACTCAGATTGATCATCGACCTAGTTCTAGCTGTTTTATTATGTCACCATTCACATAATTGTCTTGACTCAGCGTGCATTTCTTTTCTATAGTCAAAATTACTCATGCTGCTAATCTCATTTGTCTCGATAAAATGCAGAAAGCTGCTATCAAGAAGATGGATATGCAAGCAACAAAAGAATTCCTTGCTGAATTGAAGGTTTTGACTCATGTTCATCACTTGAACTTGGTAAGTTCTCATTACTCGTACTGATATACTATCTTTTCTTACTTGAATATAACCTCTCTGGCACCTGCTCTGAGTCTATGGGGGAAAAAATCAACATCATGGAGTCATGATTGGTTGAACTTGCTAACTTTAGCAATCTTTGAACTTATTTGTAATGCAATTCTCAAAAGTGGTCTGAGCCACTTAGCTTGATAATGTGATACTTCTCATAGTGAAAGTAAGGATTGGTGATTTGGTTCTGCCATACTTGAGATTTAGCAGATGATGAATCCATTTACCTCATATGTCATAAAGTATATTTCACGTGTTGAAACCTTTGCAGGTACGTTTGATAGGATACTGCGTTGAAGGATCCTTGTTCTTAGTATACGAATACATTGAAAATGGAAACCTAAGCCAACATTTGCGCGGTTTTGGTTAGTTCAGTTCTACTTATTGCACAAAAACTTCATGTCTAACCAAATTTTTGAATTTCTCACAGTTCCATATCAATTTTGTACTATTCAGTTCCAGGTAAGGTGCCATTGCCATGGTCTACCAGGGTGAAAATTGCTCTGGATGCAGCTAGAGGCCTAGAGTACATCCACGAACACACTGTTCCTGTTTACATCCATCGCGACATTAAAACAGCCAACATTTTGATCGATAAAAACTTTCGTGCAAAGGTATGAGAGTTCCAAAAACCAGAACTATGAAAACAAAAACCATGTGTGCTAATTCATTTGAAGATAATCTTTTTGTCTTGCAGGTTGCTGACTTTGGACTCACAAAACTGATAGAAACTGAAGGTGGTTCGATGAACACTCGTCTTGTTGGTACTTTTGGTTACATGGCCCCAGAGTAAGAATTTATTTCCCTATGGTATTAGTACTTATTCAATATCTCTGAACAAGATCAAATTATCATTTTTCGTACTTGACTTAATGTGCAGGTATGGTCAATTTGGTAATGTTTCACTCAAAATAGATGTATATGCATTTGGGGTTGTGCTTTATGAATTAATATCTGCTAGAAAAGCTATTATCAAGACTAGTGAAATTTCTACTGAATCAAAAGGGCTTGTTGGATTGGTACCTTTGAAACATTTCTTCACTCACCAAATTCAATTCTCACCTCTAAACCACTAAAAAGAGTCTAAAACTTCAACTTTTAATTGGCAATATTCTTTGCAGTTTGAGGATGTGCTTAATGAGGTTGATCCTAAAGAAGGGATATGCAAACTGGTAGATCCAAAACTTGGTGATGATTATCCCCTGGATTCAGTCTGGAATGTAAGAAAACAATATATTTTCACAAGTGCATTAATGTTAACGCGATTCATATAGTTTGAGATTTACGTGTACTCAAGTAACTTGATCGATTAACGCGATTCATATAGGTGGCTCTTCTTGCCAAGGCGTGCACACAGGAGAATCCACAATTGAGACCAAGTATGAGGTCAATAGTAGTAGCTTTAATGACAATATCATCCACAAGTACTGCAGATTGGAACCTTGGTGAATTTTATGAGAACCAGGGCCTAGCCCATCTCATTTCAGGAAGGTAAGTAATTCCAATTGGAGTTATATTGTGTTACTCACAATCAGGAAATTAGAAGCACAAGTTACACTTGTATATTTGTCTATTTACATCAACCATAATTTAAAAAAAGGAACCCTGTATCTCTCTCCTTTGAGTAGCCATTTGTCTCTAGATTTTTGGGCTTAAATTTAAAGTTTTGATTTCTCAGCGTTTGTTGATGGTATATGAACACCTCAATTTTAAATCATCAGTTGGAAATACCAAATTCATCAATACATAGGATTTCGAATCTCAAATTATTTTTCAAATATAATTTTTTTAGGTGTTTATATTTTGCAAATAAAGATCCGTTATTTTAAATTTTGCTCCAAAAATAAAGTAGTATAAAATAATACTCGACCACCAATGATTTACTCGTTTCATTTTTACTTGTCCCTTATACAAAAAATATATTATTTTACTTTATCCTTTTAAACATATCAAGAGAAGACCATATTTTTATATATTTTATCCTTTAAATCATTTCTAAAGACTTTAGACTAGAAATAAATTTATATAGGTATTGCAATAAAATACTCATACTATTCCGTATTTCTAAAGAATGTGCAAAGTCCAAAATGGACCAAATAAAAAGCACAAAGGGATTATTTGTTTGCTCCTTTGATAAAATTATATAACAGTCAATTTTTTTTTAATTATTTTCATAAATTACATATTTAAAATAAAATTTTAACTCAAATTAATTTAATTTCAATCATAATTTAAAATTACGTACATACGATCCACACCATTTTTTTTTGTGTGTGAGGTGGTGGTTTGGGGTGGGGGAGTTGTTAGATATTTTGCTCCTCTATTACATGTCATTTATGAACAAAGGTAATGACACAAGTCCCCACGTCCTTGTAAAGGAAAGATGACAAATAAACACTCTAAAGCAGGATATTTTCATATTTAATATTTTTCCCATTCTTATTATTTATAATAATAATAATTATTATTATATCAGTATCCTTAATAGTAGTAAATTAGTCATTCTCAAGTAAACTGAACTTAATAAGATTATTAGAAGGACAGTTGTGTCCACCAAATATTTCGTGTTCACGTCAATCTTCATAAGATCCAATAAGAAGACCAAGTGTGAGTTTATTTATGCAAATATCCCCTTTTTTAGGCTAGAATTCAAATTTCTTAACTATTTTAAAAGTTATACAAATATACCCCTTTTAAATTATCCTCTTGAATAGATATTATCTCCGTAAAATTTTGTTGTGATAAGGAGTAACTATTAATTAATTCTCGTTTTTTTTATTTAGAGACGAATAGCTGGAGTGCAGGAATTTATGTTATAAAACATTGACTTGGAGAATATTTATATAAAAAAGTGAATCTAGCCTTATCGAATTTTTCAAATTAATATATATGTACAAATAAATAAGTTACACCGCCTTACACAAACAACTTTAATGTCACTTGATAAGCGCCTTAGCTTGCTTATGAACTATGACGTCCTAAGTTGAAATCTTCATGACCTATAATATTTATAGTTTGTTGACTTAAATCGTTGGAAGGTCCAAATTTTGCAACAAAAAAAAAATAGACGTAGCGAGTGAGATTTAATTCATAAACCCTGGTTGTCAAAGAGAGCTTTAGTCCAAAAGGGATATTGTCTAATGTTTTTTTATTAAAAAAATAATTTGTTCTAAAGAAATTTACGAATTTGATCTAAATGGCTCATAAATGAAAAAAAAAGAGGAACACTTATTAAATATTTATTCTAAAACATAATGGGTGAAAAATTTCTCTAACACAATAATACGTGATTCAGGAATCAATTAAAATTTTGTAACTTAAACTCGTGATATATAAATTACACAAAAAAAATACTATACTTTTTTTGCAAGTCAGCGAAAAACTTTTTTAAGATGTATTATACACCAACTAATATTGACAAAATATTGCACATGGTTAAGATAGACATATAGACATGTTGAACATAAAGTCATAAACTGCCAAACGGATAAATTACACTATTCCATTGAAAATCAAAATGACAATGTTTTTTAAATTATTAATAAGCGAGTATTGCTTTAAAAATAATTATTTCCCATCGTCCCTACCTAAACCTCCTCAACCGCAAAAAAATAAAAATAAAATCAAGAAAAAGAGATGAGAGGTGAGATAAGATAATTGAAGAAGTTTAATGAAGTAGTTGAACAAAAATCAATCTCTCTGTTGTATATATTGAAACCTGACCTAATTTTTTTTTGTATCCTTTAGAGAGTGTGATTTTTATTTATATGATAAAAAATATTTTTTAAATTAATATTTAAGTTATTTTTTGAGTTTGATATATAAGTAAATATCATTTTATAACCAATTGTATACAATTTAAATAAATATTATAGACGTAGAGTTTGGAGATAAGTGTGTGGTGGTAAAAATGAGGCGATGTAGAGGATTTCATTATAGAAAAAACTGTTAATTATATGAGGATTTTCCTGAAAATTAATATGAAATTTTGCAGGAAAATAAGATTCCTGCGAATTTTCATTCTAATCCCCAAGAAAATAGGGGAAAATCTCCATATAATTAACAGTTTTCTTATAGTGTATAGAGAGATACAATCTATAAAATATCTTGTGAAAATTATTTTTCTTACACTATTGAGAGAAAACATTTATCTTATATTTAAGCCTTTTTCTTTAGAGAAACATTTTTTAAAAAAAAAAACGAACACAAATATTAAAAATTACAAAAGAATATACCCCTCCGTTTCTAATGCATATATATATATATATATATTATAGAAATACGTACCTTTTGTTTCACTTATTTCCATTTTTCATTATCCCCTATTACTTTTAAAAATCTTCAAAATCTCTTATTTCTTTAATGTATCTGAGCTACATATTATGTATCAGAGTTAGTTTTTAATGTATCTCAACCTGTATTTAATGTATCTGAGCTACACATTATTATTCGAGCTAGTTTTTAATGTATTTGAGTTATATATTAATATATCCGAGCTAGTATTTTATGTATTTGAGCTACATATTATGCATCCAAGCTAATTTTTAATGTATTCGAGCTACAAATTTATGCATTCGGGCTTCAATTATTGTATTCGTTTTCTTTTTAATTTTTAAGAAATTAATATAATTAGAAATTTATTAGGGATAGATAGTAATTTCATATTAAAACTATGAGATTCACGTAATTTACGTGTTATATATATACTCATATTCTGATCTATTGGCTTAAAATTTCGAATAATAATTCTTTAGAAATATCTGAAAGGAAATCTGTAATACCAATAAAAGATACTCTATTCAATATTTGGTTGTTTTTTCCTTCATATATAGTATATAGTGATTCTAATTCTGAATTGCCCCATTTATTTTATTCACCTTCCTGCCCCAACTAATTTTATAAATTCCACCTTTATTTCTCCACTCCTTGTGGTCCTTCTTTCCATATTGTATTTATAGCATGTAAAATTCATTTTATTTCATGTTTAAACTAAAGGGATAATTGCATTTTTATTTCTTTGGTTACTGAAGTAAATTCTGGTTTTGACCTTCGTGATATTTTATTACAAGCGTATTTAATTTTGAATTAATTAAAAATGTGTTTTTGTCCTCTTACAAAGGACATGTGTTAAATCTTTTTAGAATGATATTAACCTTTACCTATAAAATAATAATCTAAATTTAACATATACATTTATACATAATTAAATAATTTAACTCTGGATACATTTTTACGATTCACAACTAGAACTCAAAATTAAATAATTATTTGCAAATATTTTAAGGGTTGAAAGCGCAAGTTTCCCATTTCTTACTTACCAATCAACCACCCCATCCAACTTTTAAAAGATGTATCGTTCCAATTTAATCTATTTTTTCCTTTTATAGTTTCATTAGTTACTGTCTCCTGATCTATTAATAAGTTTTTTAATAAACATTTACACAAATTTTTGAAATGAAAAATTTATAATGTGTTGATTGAACATGTGATGGCGAATCTATCACGTAATCAAAAATACGTGATTGGAATAATATGAATTATGTGGCGGGTGTTAGAACTGCGCTGATTAATCAGAGGTCTTTGAGTTTAAATTTTAAATATTACATAAATTTAAAGTAAAAAATAACATAAATTTATTGTGATCGAAAAGAAAGGATAGAAAAAGGAATGGAGGAATTGATCAATAATGCTTTTTTGGATGCTTTTAGTAGCTAAAAGCTCAACCTCTCTTTTCTTCAAGAATGTTTTGTTTTTTCTTCAAAAAGAATACTAATTGGAAAAGATTCATTAATGCAATTGTTTATGAGAAAGGGCTAAAAGGGGAGAGGTAATACAGAAGGGTTGATTAATTAGTTGTAGTTGTCCATTATTGAAATTGCTTTTTCCTTTTTTCTCATATTGTTTTTTTTTTCCTTCACAAAATGCAAATAATTATAATACTCGATAAAATGAGAAAAGTAGTGGAAACATGATACTAAAGACCATAATGATTTTGCTGACCATGCATGTTTGTTGCTTAATCTCCATTTTCACGTTGAATATTCATTAGTCTCAACAATGTTTGTCTTCACCATGAAGCAATTTTAATCAGCTATCTTACTACTATTATTATATATATATATTTTACAAAGACCACATATTATTTTCTCGATCGCTAATTACTTGTTTACTTTTGAATTGATATACTTATTGAGAAAACAATAATAAACATCGTAGTTTACCATTTTACCCTATTAATTATGAAGTAAATAAATCAAAATTTTTAAAATTTTCACAAAGTTTTAATTTTTTCAAAATAATTAATTGATGATACAGTAGGTAAAAGAAACTCTCGTTTCTTGATCTGTCCACATGGATAAATAACGATAAACAACTAAAACGAAAATAGAAACAGTAACTTAAACAACAGAACAAATCACACATGGAGTAATTCTAGGCCATATATGATATAGTACTAATTTTCAACCTTTCAAAATTTTGTCTCTCTTACTTTTATTTGTTTCGACTATTTATTTAAGAGAAGTTCTGACTAGTACAAAATTCTCCAAGTACAAGTTACCTCAACTCATTTTGATCAAACACGTTTTTATATTTTAAAAATATTTTTTATGTAGTCATTTCATTTTAAGGATTATATGAGAAAAAATAATTTATTCTTACTTTATAAATATTTATTTCTAATATATGAGTCAATTAAAATAAAATAGAAAGGAGCATCAAAAGTCATATTTGGATTACAAAATGGCTATTCT